AATAAATTTTATCCTATGGTGACGGCCAGTAAGTTTGTTTACTGGATATACTGAGTTGTGTAGGGCTCAGTATATCCAGTAAAAAAACTGTGGTGAAGTCCTTTATGGGGATAAAGTTTCCAGAGGTAAAATTTTAGGTATCACACAATTTCTTCCACGCATGGTTGCCTTTCAGCGCTCATGAAAGAAACTTTAGAAATACTTGAAAAAAAGTTCATGTAGTGTCAAGACAAACCGCACTGGTTAATTATAAATCCAAGACTGACTTTTATTGAAGTAATCCAAATGTATGTAAGCTAATACATGCCTTACAATGTTGTAAATAGAAGTATGTATATGTACATGTGTATGAGATATTAATATGCGAGGGTGTGCGTGATTATAAGAGAGGTATGTACATGACATCCCTCTTTTTTTTCAAAATTCTAATTAGTTCAAAATTTACATTCAATATTCAAGTAAGTAAAGAAATAAATGAATAAAATTGTTATGGTTTTCTTCTCCTGAGTAGCGACATCGTCAGGCTCCATATCGTTCAACTGGTCGAATTATCCGTCCATACCTAGATTTGACAACGGGTTCAATTTCGTGCTGTGGTGAGCTGTTAGTGCCTTTGAGGCGTACGCAACTGGCTGATCATCTTGCAGTAATACTGCGCCTACACTTGCGTTGCTTGAATCTACCTGCAATTTGACGTCGATGTTTGGGCCGTAAAACCGTAACACTGGCGCGCTGGAAAACACCGATTTCAGCCGTTTAAATGCAGCTTTTTGAGGTTCTGCCCAAATCCATGCGGAGTCTTTTTTAAGTAAAATACGCAAAGGTTGCGTTATTTCGGAAAAATTTTTTATAAACTTACTTAGATAAGTAGCCATGCCCAAAAGACGTTGTAGCTCGGTTTTATTTTTGGGTTGATTCAAATTGCGGATGGCTGTTATCTTATCCGGATCCGCACACAGCCCGTTTTCGGTTAAGACATGACCTAAGAACTTAATTCGATTAGTAGCAAAAACACACTTTTCTTTGTTGAGCTTAAGACCACAACTCTTTAGCTTTTGCATTACTGTTTGTGTAATTTCGTGTAATTTTTCTTTAGTTTTCGCAAATATTAGAACGTCGTCCATGGATACTTCAACATTTTCAACTCCTTCTAGAAGGTCAGACATAATTTTTTGGTATACCTCTGGTGCCGATGCCAATCCAAACGGCAATCTTTTATAAGAATATCTACCCCAAGGTGTAGCCATTGTTAAAATTTTGGATGTTCGAGGAGACACTTTCATTTGCCAAAATCCGCGTTTACAATCCAAAAGAGTAAACCACTTCGAGCCTTTAACTCTCGCTACTATCTCCTCAACTGTCTTTAGTGGGTAGTATCTTCGAATGAGATTCTTGTTTATATCTGAAGGATCAATGCAAATTCGTATTTTGTTTTTCTGTCTTATAACTACCATGGGGGAAGCCGCTGGCGTGACTTCATTAGTTTTTTCTAAAACGTTCATGCTTACCATTTTATCAATTTCCTTCTTTACTTCGTCCCGTATACTATGAGGCACTTTCCTTGCAGCATATGTCTCGAAGCGGGGATTTGGAATCAAATCTATATCATACTCATAGTTCCTCACGCATCCAAGCCCACTGAAGATTTCATCGTCCGACTTTAGTTCGGTTACTCGCAAAATTAGGCCGCTTCGTTCACAATCCTCTTTTCCTAGTAAAGGCGAAACTGCACCGTCAACAATTTTGAAGTTAATTGTTAAATTTTTGTCGCGGACTTGGCACTTCGCGTTAATTTCGCCACATACACTCACTTTGCTGTTGTTAAAAGCTACCAATTTTTTCGTTGTAGCCGGTAAAATTTTAATTTTCATTTTATTGCAAATCGACTTCAGTAAGACGTTACACTGAGCTCCAGAATCGAGCTTCACCTTAATTGTTCTATTTTCAACAATAATTTGCTCACACCAGCTGCGGCTAGTGTCGAAGTTTGTATTAACTGTGTTGACGAACAATTCGTCTTCACTTATATTTTCTTCGCTTTCTACTCGTTCTGGCGTCGCTTCTTTAGTAAGCTCAAATACTCGTTGTTTTCTGCTTAAACACATTTTTGCGAAGTGCCCTCTGCGGTGACATTGATTGCAACTTTTGTTGTAGGCCGGACAACGGTTTTCCTCATGCAGATACCCACAAAACCTACACTCGCGCTCTTTTTGCTTTAGTTTTGCTTTTGGAGTTGAGTAGGACGAGTGCGCATACTGTGCATTTCTCTGTTTTACTTTTTTTAGAACATTAACCTCCGTGTCTTCTTTGTGAAGCTCTTTTAGTTGTTGCGTTGCTGCTTCGCTAGCTCGACAAGTCTTAATTGCCTTTTCCAAGGTTATCTCTTCGACAGATAGCAGCTTCTCTCGAACGGCGTCACTTTGAACGCCGCAAACAATTTTGTCTCGCAGTAAAGCGTCCGTTAGCTCACCAAATTCACATTTTCTGCTTTGGTTCTTTATTCTCGTTAGAAACTCGTCGAACGGTTCCCCAGATTTCTGTGTCATGATGTTAAATGAGTATCTCTCAAAAGTAACGTTTACTTTAGGTGCAAAATATTCATCAAACTTTTTTATAATTGTTGAGACACTCTTTTTTTCCACATCGCTTAGTGAAAACGAATTATAAATATTAAGTGCCTCCGGCCCTATTGCCGTCATAAACGTGGCCACTTGAATCTCCGCTGGTTTTTTCTCCAGTTCTGCAGCCACTGAAAACCATGTGTACTGCTGATGCCACTGACTCCATGCCTGTGCTGCGTTGTCAGTATCCACTGCCAGCGGTTTAGGTGGTTTTACGTACGCCGCGTTCATTCCGTCTGAAGGTGTATATTTTCCTGCTCCGACGCGTTGGGCATCTAATCTGACACCATGTAGTGTCAAGACAAACCGCACTGGTTGATTATAAATCCAATACTGACTTTTATTGAAGTAATCCAAATGTATGTAAGCTAATACATGCCTTACAATGTTGTAAATAGAAGTATGTATATGTACATGTGTATGAGATATTAATATGCGAGTGTGTGCGTGATTATAAGAGAGGTATGTACATGACATATAGTACATTAATTTTTGACAGAAATACCATATAATGTATGTACTCTGGTTAGTAATATCAAAAAATGTATTAGAACCACCGTTTAATGTTATATTTAATACAGGCTGCATTTCTTTATTCATTCTGAATGTTTGGAATAAACTTTTTTGTTTACTTATTCTTTAGAACGTTCCTGATGATATGTTAACGTATATTTCAAACGCATTCTGTTTATTCCGGCTGTGAAATGGGATTATCCGGAATGTATAAAGAAACGCAGCCACAAAATAATATTACTGCCCCGAACGCTCTTCGCCTTGCCACTGAATAAATAGCTGCACATCACCCTAACTGCCGAAAAAGCGTTGCTGGCAACACTAGTGCTTTATGGGGACCAAATTTGGTGGAAAAAAACAGCTAACTGCCCGACTCCACAAGATAAAGTTTATATCTTGAGACCGCTCATTGCTCTTCAAGAGCAATATATATCAGAGCTTATATCTTGCCATCTATTGCCGGCAATATGGTAGTTTGACAGCTACATGTTCATTTGCATGAAAACTTCGTGGCGGCAACATTATTGATATTTTAATATAAAAGCAAATATTGAACTGTTTTCTGTTAAAATATTTGTTATTATGTAACTGGATGTAAAATAGCCTGTTTTCTAAGCTTTTTAAGTGATTAAATCCGGCAAAAATACGTTTTAGAAGTTATCTAACAGATGCTTATATCAAGATATAAAAAGCCCACACAAATATTGCCATTGATATAATTTATATCTAGCGACCAAAATGACAGCTGGACAAAAATAAATTTTATCCTATCGAGACGGCCAGTAAGTTTGTTTACTGGATATACTGAGTTGTGTAGTGCTCAGTATATCCAGTAAAAAAACTGTGGTGAAGTCCTTTAAGGCCACAATGCAGCTCTCAAGAAAAGCAAAAACTCCATATAAAATGACGTACAAGAAATGGCTAAGAAATTTTCTTGAGTCAAATTTCCTTACGGCAGTACGCAGTTCTTAAGAAATTTACTACGCTTTCTACTACGGTTTTCTAAAGTTTTGTGTGAAAAAAGAGCACAAGGCAACCCAGGTTTGCAACAGAAATATATGCCCGTTCCATTATTTCTTGAGGAAAGAGTGAGGCAACAG